AAATATTTTCAACAAATATCATAATAATGAAGTGACATTTAATGAGTGTTTCCTAAAAGTTGGGTGCTAGTTGAGCACTTGATGCATTTATTTTGTTATAGCTCCTTTAATCTTGACAGTGTGTATGATAGGCATCATTATCTCCATTATAGAGATGAAGGAATTCAGCCTCAGGTAGGTCATGTAACTTTCCTAAAGTCACAGGACTCCGAAATGGTAGAACAGTTATTCAAATTCAGGTCCAATTTCAAAGTGCCAGTGGTCTTTCTCCAACAAACCCCACAGAGAGAAGCAGTTATCTTATTAATTATAATTAAGTTTAAAACAAATATGTACATCTTTATTAAACCTGCCTTCTTGCTGATTTGCCTATTTATCCTTCAGTTTATCCAATAAGTATTTATGGAGCCTATTCTCCAGAAATTTTAGAGTATGCAAGGGGAAGAAGTAAGAATGACTAAAGAATTACAATACAAGAAAATAAATGCTGAAATGCTGCAATATAGGTGTTTTGGAAGTTTTTAAATGGAATATTTAACTCAGTGGTAAGAATTAAGTCATGCATCTTGTACTGTGACAAGAATGTGTAACAAAAGATAATACACCTGTTATACTTGAAATGAGGGCACCTAGAAATGATTCCGGGTATAAAGGCAAGATGTCCAATATTGAAAAGCCTTAGAACTCAATCTAAGGAATTTGGAAATTATCCTAAAATTTATAGGGGTCAGGAGGATATTGGCTTTGAAGAATTTTAGACAAGGTGTATTCAGAAATAGCTCTTTACTTTTCAAATCCATCCCCAATACTGTGTGAAGACAGTCTCGGAAAAGCAACATTAAGTGTGAGTTTTTACCATCATGCACATGAAAATTAACTCAAAGTAAGTATAAAAGAGAGAAGAGACTGGAAAAGAGCAATATTTGTGTGATAGTATCAAAAGAAACCTGCTTAGGAGGGAAATGAGAGTAATGTTAAAGATAGAGCCTTAACTTTCCATTTCAGCTCAACCCATATATTATACATACCACAGTATATCTAATTAATTAGGCCATTAATTTGATAAGGATGGCTGACTACAATTTATTTAGAACAAACTAATAATGGTTTTGCTTATTAAGGATGGTTTAAATGTATGCAGAGACAAAGGAGCCCTTGAAAGAGATATGAGTTCAGAGCGATCAGGGTTCCTGGTGGGAAAATAACTGTAAATTAAAAAAAAAAAAAAAGCTTAAAAAGAAACGTAATTTGTTGGATAGGTAGCAGGTAGTTCATAGAATTTATAGGTGTGCCAGAACTGGACTCAGAAAATGGGCGGGGCCAAGGGTGGCTGGTCTCCAGAGAGCCTCTGGCAAAGTGAGTACTGCCAGGCTGCCCTTCCCACATACTTGCCCTACAAAAATTCAAGTGCAAAATAAGCCAGATTTTGAAGACTCAGGACGGAAAAAAGAATGTAAAAATAACACATTAATATTTAAATATTGATTACATGTAGAAATGATATTTTGAATCTGTTGGTTTAAATAATATGTCTTTTAAAATTAATTTTACCTCTTTTTTTTGTTTTTAATGAGCCTACTAGAAATTTTAAAATTAGACATGCAGCTTGCATTTATGTCTTGTGTTATATTTCTGTTGGATAGCACCATTCTCGAAGGCTAGTTGGGGTCTTACATGTGAAGGTGTGTGCATGTGTGTGTTTGTGCATGTAGGAAGAAACAACAGGAATTAGGGAAAAACTGACAATAGCATTGAGCTATAGCATTGAATTACTGTATTTTCCCTCAAACCAAAATTCTGCTGTGGGAAGATGAAAAGAGGGATAAAATAGCATGGATGTTGGCAATAGCCCAGGCAATAGATCACCAAAAGTTATAGGAAAGAAGAATTGCAGAGAACACTCTTCCATTTGGAAGTGGTAAGAAGGACCACTAACAATATATGGCTCAGAAAAACTTTGGTGTTTGCCCTTTGAGTAATTCCTATATTTTCTTGACATATTTCTTCATCAAATTAGACTGAAAAACCAAACAAAATGCCTACAAAAACAATGCTAATGTGAGAAAAAGATAAAGCCAGGAGTCATTTAAATTCACACAGTATGGTAAGAAGAACATGGATTTATTTTTACTATCACATTGCACTTACATGAATGTGTGAAAAAGAATTCAGGACAGTGAATGTGAAAAAGAAAATTCTAATCCTGTTCCTTCTCATCAGCTTTGTAAAACACCAACTAACATACTTAGCAAAAGAAAATGTTTTAACTGTTGTGTGCAAGAAAATCTGATTTTTTTCAAGACATTCAGAACAGGAGCAAATGCTGACCTGCTGTTTCACACAATAGAATCTAGTTCTTCTTGTTATGCCCATTAAGCTAAGAATTGCTGAAGAAAGCAAACATCTTACAAGGGAGAAAGCCTATTTGAGCTTATAGTTTTGCCTTAGGCCGAAAAGGCAAGGAAAACCCTTTCTAAACTTTCTAACCATATGTGGTAGTCATTCTTGCTAAAAGGGAAAATCTTCCTCAAGCATTTCCCTATAAAGAAATGTCATTATCTCCAGTAGCTCTGTTGATTATTCTGCATACCAATCCATCAGCCGATTTTCTAGGAGCAGTTTCGGAGATGACTGTTAATGCCAGTAGCAATTATAAAGAAAATTGATCCTGTAAAAGCAACAGTTTGATATTCATTCCAACAAACGGCCTCTTCCACAAATAATACCAGAACCTTCCCATACTTAAAAGCTACAGCAGACATAAAACAAAATGATTGCCTTGGCCAGGTGATCGAATCCTCACAAGCATATAATGCAGGACTGACGTCTTAAAGAGAAATAATGAAAATCACTTAATAGACATAGGTACTCGTCAGTTTTAAAGATTAATAAGAAAAGAAAGCTCTCTGCTCTCCAAAATACTTTCATGGTAAATTTCAAAGCTGATGAAGATTAGATTTAATTTCTTGCTTCTAGTGTCATGACTGCCTGGTTTATATTTGTAACCACACATAAATGAAGGAAAAGCTAATTTCAGGTCTCTAAGTACTACAGTTTAAGTAGCAAGGCTGTAGATAGCACAAAAAGTGTAATTCCCTGTGGTGTAAATATTTGTTGAATTGATGCACCATCAGAGACAGCCAGTCAAAAGCAAGCTTCTTTTTCTTATTCTTATTTTCTTCTTCTTAGCTTTCTTATTCACTATCACAGGTGGAGTTGCACGAGTCTTTTTTCTTCTTCTTCCTTTCTATTTTTTTCCCAAGTTTTATTGAGATATAACTGACATATAAGATTGTCTTAGTGTAAGGTGTTTCTCTGGGGTAGAATATGGTAGATATGAATGCCTAAAGTCTCCAGATATAAAACTTGTAAATCCCAACACTTATCTGGATAGTCTGAGACAAGCTGCCCCAGAATATCTAAAGGTTTTAACAGCTTCAATGGCAAATGTAGATTTTTCTGAATTTAATAGTAGTTCTTTTAATTTGAGTTCATATGGCTAGTTCAACCAGTGCCCAATGGCTATGACTTTCATTATATTCCCATAGGAATCTAGGCTACCAACACTAAGCCATTTTTTACACATAGTTTGCATGTAAAAGCAAGCCCACTAGGCCAGAGCAAGTAATGAGGCTTTGCACAGACAAATAATAATGATTAATTGTTACTAAATTCGCACAGTTGCCTACACATGCTGGCACTCTGCTAGATCCTTTGGTATAACTCATCTCATCTTTAAAGAAAAGAGAGCTCTCCCATTTCCCATATTTACAGATGATCAAACTGAGGTCCAATTTGAAACATCTATCTGACTTTGTATAGATGTTCTTTTCGTTTCACTACTGTGTGTCTCATTATAGGCACTTGATAAGAAATTGATGAGAGGGAAATTAATAAATGAATGAAGGAATGGGTGTAGAAATTCACTAGGGTATATATTATTCAATTTTTACATGTTTCTGGCAGTTTAAAAAATACGTGTCAAATACTGCTGTTAAAATAATTTGCATCAGATTATATATAATATCAACTCTATATGTTATAACATTCAGTAGCTTTAACTAAACCAATTATACTATTTTTAGAAAATATCTATTCCAATGATTTTAGAAAATAGAATATTAACCTTCTCGAATAAGTTAAATATAAGGGTTTAAACATTCTCTGTATGTGCTGAGAAATAACAAGAATGTAAGTAGGAAAAGAAAAGATTTTTTTTTTCTGAATTCATGCCCTAAATTATCATGAGCCATGGTAAACAATTTTTTTTTTTTTGCATCACAAGGTTATCTTTTCTAACATAAATATACATTATGAATATAGCAACAAATATTTTAGATTCCATTAAAGTTTTACTAATTATCTGTTATGTGTGAATTTTAAAGTATATTTTATTGGAAATATTTGCATTTGAAGTCATAGTTATAAAATACTTAATTACTGACACATGTCTAAATACTTAAGGCAAGAAAAAAATAGCATTCTTTTTTTAATACACTCTAAAATTTCCTCTTATATTTGAGGATAAATCTAATTTATTGAGTTCTAATGAACATATTGTTTTTTAAACTTTCGTATAAATTCTGTCAATTTTAAGCATAAACTAACCTTCTAATGTTGACAGTCAGTTGCATACTGATTTTCCAATCATTTAGTAAGACGAAAGCAGTTAAAAGTTGAAATACACTAAACACAGCTGTGGTCTCGTGGAATGGGAATTACAGATTGATAATAACCCTAGGGAATTACAGATTGATAATAACCCTAGTATATTATCTTAAATCTTACTTCGTTTGGGTTTGGAGAATATAATCTCACTTATGCTATGTCCAAATTTATGTAAAATGAGCTGTCTTTTTACTAGTAAAATACTTAGTGCTCTTCAGGACAATTAGTTTAAAATTGAATGACTAAATTAATCAATGTTATAATCTAATATGTTGTGAGCTATAATTTTCCTGACTTGAAAGAGTCTTTACTGATCTTTATTGTGTGTTTAGGTCTTCTGAGCACTTCCTGGAGTTGTTATGTGTGTGAGTCAGGATATCAGCAAACGTATTTGGAGGAGGTTAACAATTTGTTCTAATAAATTCATCAATTAAGGTATTATTTATATTGTCACTTTTTGTTATAGGACATTTCATCATCTTCATTACTAAATAAATTATAGTTCAAATTTTAGCAGAGGCATTTGAATTTAATAATGTAAGAAAGTTAATTCAGTTACCTTATAATTTATAGTGTTAAGGTTAAAACAACCTATGAAAGAATGAACAGAATTTGCTTTTTTCTGACTTCAGTATTTACCACTATTTGGTTTTATGCTATAATGATTATATACCTAAGACTTCTAATTTTTATTAAATTTCTTAATCAGCTTGTTGTTGAGGAAAACCTTTTCTACACTTTTTCCAGTTTCCTCCATATTTCCAAAATATCCATTTTAATTACTGAATAAAGAGATTTGTTGCAATGAGTTTAACCATTCTTTGGGTAAGGTTTTGTAACCCTGTAACTTTATTTTAAGTAGAGATTTCCTTCATTTGCAAAAGCACATCGAGAGCATATGTAAAATGTAAATCTGCCTCTTTACTCGTCTGCCCACATTTGAACTCTACACAGTAAATGATGGAAAATATAATGAAAAAAATGAGTAATTTTTGAGACGCAATTATTGATGTTTTTGTTATAAAATACAAACTTGGCTTCAAAAGTGATATGAAATAATAGGAGAAAAAAACAAATGTAAGATTTTTAAAAGGAGACAGATTTCCAAAAGACCTGAGAGAACAGATGTGCCATCAGCATCACTCCGTGTGTATCAATGCTCAAGAGGGACAGGCGGTAGGTTTCTCCCCTCCCTGTAGCTCTTGTGAGAACAAATCTCTTCATACAGCCTACAGAGATTTGGGAAGTTAGTAACCCATGCAAAGCCCTTTTGGGGAAAATGGAGAGCAGAATAGTAATGGAGGAAGTAATAGTACCTGGGTAACAACTATGATCTCTGCTTAAAAGGATAAATGCATTCTATCAAAGAATTGTGTACATTTGATCAATGACCTCTTTATGTGTACATGCAGATGAGCATAATGCTGGGGTTTTTTGAGAACTATTGCCAAAATAATGCTGCATAATAGTTAATACCAAATTTGTGTTGCTTTTTATTCACTGGGTAGGTCATGACTTGGCAGGGCCCAGTTTAAAGATCTGCTGGGCTTGACTGAGGCTTTGCATTCAATTCTTGTCTGCTCATTCTCTTGAAGCAGTGGCTATCTGGAGCGTGTTCTTCTCAAAGTGAAGGGCAAAAAGGAAAGAGTCAAAGCCAAACAATATGAGCACACTTAACATCTCTTCTCTGGTCATGTCGGCTAATATTCCATTGGTCAAAGCAAGTCACAGGACCATGTCCAAACATAATGGAACAGCTGAGTCTACTCCTCTGACAGAGAGGTGGGCATAGCAAAGATGGAGAGCAAAGGAATAATTTGGAAGCAAACAATACAACTCTAACCTCTTGGTCACAATTATTAATTTCCCTTCTATTGGCAAAATACATTTATTTCTTTCCCGAATTACCAGAAAATCTTATATCATCATGAAAATACCCACTTATGGGGCTATTGTAAGGATGAGTGAGACTAAATAGACAGCACCCACACAAATCCTCGGACATAGGAGTTATATTCTGTAGCCATTAATATTAGCCATGATAATGATAAATGTGATATTTAATTTTATAGTAATGTTAATATAGTTAAACGCCTTTCTATTTTTATCTGAAACATTATCACTATATTATATTACAGAATATTTTATTTCAATATTTCAGTATTCCAATAACATGCTTATTTGTTCTTTATAAGCCCAGTAACTCCTGAATGAGGGAGAAAAGAGAATTGAATCAAGTGAGTTAGACAGATGCCTTAAAACTTAACTTTCAAATGGAATTGATTCCTATGGAATGCAAAATCCCTGCAAACACAGTAAGTGAAATTTAGCTGTAAAATGCATCTTATGTGATGTACTCCAAAGAGATAATACACACACAAATATACCTAGCAAATAGAAATTAACATGTATGTAAGTTCAAAGGTAATCTACTCTGTGAATTAACATGATAGAACTATTGAGAATGAATAAGGAATGCATGAAACATTTAATAGCAAACGATTGTTAATATTGCCCAGTTTTTAAAAACTGATGTAGTTTTCACATCCCATGCAATAATTGAAAATGCTATTTGATCCTTTGGTTGTACCATAATCAGCTAGCTTTCAAGTGATTAAAATTATTCCTGTCTTTTTCCTTCTTTCTTTTCTTTTCTTCTTTCCAGCTGCCAGATGGAGATGTGTGTGTTGGCCTCCACCACATCATCAACATCTCTGCTCAAATTCTAGTGAGCTCTGAGTGCTCCATTACCCATTGCATTCTGCCCCATTTGATCCAGGCGCGTTTGCCACTTTGATGCCTTCACAGTACAAACAAGGTGCACTAATCAAAGCTTCCCTGTTCCATCCTGCAGGAACCTCTCATCACTGCCGTGGTTTCAAATCTGGTGCACAACATTACCACTTCATTTTGTTCCCTTTGATCCTATCAGCCTGACACTTTGATCCAGGCATTGCGCTAACTGGACTCATCAAAGCTTTTACACTTTTGTTTTTGACAGGCAGTGACAAAGATTCCAGCAGGACTAAAGGGCTTTACTTTTCCTGTTTCTGCTGAATTTTCAGTATCAATTATTTGCTACTTAATTCTCATTCTAGAACATGTTCATTAATTTTATCGGTGTTGTATTTTAAAATGTACATTTGTTTTTGACGAAGGCTTGCCCAAAGCAATTAAATATATCCATATCAGCGTTGTATATCCATAATTGTTTAATGCACCACAGGTGTTTAATTCATGAATCTTAAATCAATGAAGCTTAATGGAAACAATGTGTAAAGCAGCAGTACTAACATGAACTAGAAAATTTTAGAGCTCCATCTTGGGAAAATATGTTTCATCTAATGACCTTTATCAGAAAATACTTTTTGTCTTACCATGATATAATTAGAAAGACTTCTGCATGTGTTTTAAATAAAGGACTGACTGTCCCAGTAAGAATGGAAAAATTCCTCATAGTTAGAAGACTAGAAGATGGGCTTGCTCCAATTTCCTTGCTTACACTTATTTATTTCAGTCCTGGAAATCTTGGTGTATATATTTTCCTGCATAACTTTTGATGAGCTATGTAAAATTATATTCATCCAATAATCTATTCAACTTATAAAATACAGTGAAAATAAAAGCTCTAGGAGTCACATAAGATCACCAAGGATTCTGTTCTTCTTAAGTCTGTTATTTCCTAAATACCAATAACATAAATTCCCCAACTCTGAAAGAATTATCAGGGGAGATTTTTGTTCCAATGGATAGGTTTCTGGGGCCTCAAGATGGACAGGGTTTCTTGGAAGGATGCCATGTTAGGCTGTGTATAAGAGGAAGAAAGAATATCATCAGTGAATCTGCCACTGATAAATTTGCTCTAAATCATTATTTTCTGTATGAGTGGTAAAAATGGACAATGATGTCATTGTTTTTACTCTTTCAGGCTCGAAGGATGTGAGACACAAAATGATCAGAAGGTAAACTATTACCAAGATGCATCACCATGTATACACTAACGATCTCTTGAGAGTTTTAGACAATAAATAGAAGAAACCACTAAACAAGTAGAAGCTTAGGTAAGTTTACATTCTTCATTCAAAGAAGTAGAACTATCTGCGACAAAACTTATAATTCACTCAGTGAAATATGCTGAGTGAAATATACTAGCCTATTTATAACTCTGTGCCTCCTGGTGGTTTAGCACATAACCTCACAAATGCGGTTTACTGCTGACCCTGTGGGAACTTCATGCTTCTTAATAGGCAGCAGACAAGGCCTACTAGTGATAAATTGTTCATAATTTACTAATATGATCTTTTCTCATCGAACTAAAATAGATCAAAGAAGATATGATTAGTCTCTGTCTTTAGTAATATACATCCTTAGATGAAGAGAAAAAGGGAGAAATAAATGTATTAGTGAATGAGGTGGAGAATGTCTAGAATATCCGGGATGAATATTAAGTAGTAAACTTAAGCAAGACCTCAAAGTTCACCTAGGGCATGTTGGCACACTTATCTGAAGGGAAGAGGAAGAAGAGCTGAAACAAACAGTGTCTAATGGTCTCTCTACTGTCTGAGACAGGTATAGTCTAAGTTTCTTGACAATGACAGCCGTAAAATGAAAGAACGTGCTTGTTTTTAGAGCTTTTAGAGTCTTGGCCTCCAAGGATAAATAAAAGGCTAAGTTTCCGAGGGATGATTTTTCTGCCTCACATAATTTTCTTTTGGCATTTTCTTCCTTGCTATAACTCTGGTGGGACTGGCAGTTAAGTGGTTACAACTCTTTCTACAGGGTTACTTGAACCAAGCCAGCCCTCTGGGTACAGTGGTTGCTTCGTTGGGCATATTCCCACACAGGGTCAGATTTCTATTTGGGGGAATAAAATGGACGGCAAGAGGGACTCCATTTTTCTTTGATCAGGAGATATAAAAACTATGTAACCCTGGTGTGTATGTTGAGGGGGGGCATTGTGTGTATGTGTGTGGTGGGGGAATATATGCAGATAGCCTGCTAGAGAACCAAGCCTACATATTACAAAATAGAGCTAAAACATGGCAGAGCATGAGAGCAATAATAATGGGTGCCATCCACTAAGCTGGACCCTGCTGTATCCAAAGCCAGCCTAAACCTGTACGCCTTAACTACACAAGCCCATTCTGTTTTTGCTTGAAGATGATTTGATTTGAGTTTGATTCACTCACAATTGAAAGTTTTTGTTTACTAAGTGCTGAATTTACTGGAATATTTGTTGGAGCTCATTTGCAATATTTCAGTTTTGTGTAATACTTTCAGCATGATATAGTATTCTTAAAAAGGATATTGTCAGGTTGTTTTTCAACATGATGAGAGAAATAGGGCACAAATAACAAACATCCAAAGTAGAAGCTTTAGAATTAGAGCCATAATACAATTGAATTAATATACCTATTAAGTAATGTCTTTAAAAAGTAAAACTCCTTTTTTCTTCCATGTGTCTAGAGAATCAAAGATTAAAGATAAAATTCACTTTGGTATAACAGACTGAAAGATGCTAGTCATGAAGTTCTAAAGATAAATTAGATTTGCCATCCGCTTCTTGGAAAATTATGCTTCAATCATTCAAGGTGTTATTTTCTTCTTATTCTTTATAAGAATATAAGTTACTTTGATTCACAAGAAACATGTTTGGGGCCAGCTGGTGGCATAGCGGTTAAGTTCACACACTTTGCTTCAGCGGCCTGGGGCTCGCAGATTCGGATCCCGGGTGTGGACCTAGCGCTGCTCTTCAAGCCATGCTGTAACAGCCACATAAACAGGAAGCACACATAAAACTGGAAGATTGGCATGGATGTTAGCTCAGGGCCAATCTTCCTCACAAACAAAACAAACCCCAAACAAACAAAAATAAGCAACACATGTTTTATTTTTAAAATCTGGAAATTACCAAAAGGATACAAATAAGATAATGAAAAGCATCCAAATCCACCACTTAGAAACTGTGCTCTTTATGGCTTAATTCTTATTTCTTTGAACATATGAATACATTTCTCTTCTTTGTATAGACTACAGTTATTTTCTGTGTAGGAAGGGTTAACTATCTGTAATAGATAATAATGTAATATGTGGAAAACATCACATCAAATAAGTAGATAATGTTTAAGAACACAATTTTCAAATGTGACAATTGAAAATAGTGTTCCCTTGCTATTGTAATTTGCGTTTCTTGTTAGGCCATATTGATATTCATTCAGTTTTCATTAAAATGTGATTTTTTTCTCCCTTTCTTTTAGTTTTATTTCTTATAATTGATAATATTTGATGGGAGGGGTTTGAATTTCATTATCTTTCTCAAATTTTCCCCCTTAGAATATTGCGAAATTTTTCATTTGCATCTAAAAATCTCTTCAATTCAGATATATTCTCCTCCATCATATGCAACACCAGAACATGATCTAACAGATAGTACACAAAATGGCACTTACAACATGCCTGGCCTTTGACAGGTGCTCAATATATATGTATAAATAAATGAAAAAAATGAGTGAATGAATGGGAGGGATATTTACAAGTAAAGAAGCAAAAGTGAGGAGACAAAAACAAAGATCATATCTGCAATACATCTTTAAACCAAATTGGTCATAATTCTGTTAATTCAAGAACCATTGGAAAAGGCAGTCTAGAAAAGAAAGTTCACTATATATTAATTATGAAATGACTCTTAGAAACTGGTACTGAAAGTGGAGTCATGAACATAAAACCACTCTCAAGATTCAGATATGAAAAAGAGTGTTGGCCATCAGAAGACAAGAATTGTCAATTTACTCTCTGCCAATCTGAAAACAAATAAATTAATTGACAAATAACAACAACAAAGTCTGGATCAAACTTGCTGTCTTTAGGGTCACGAGATTTATAATAACTACAATAGCTGACGTTTACAGGCGTGCTTACTTTGTGCCATGCGTCTTTCTAAGTGTGTTCGACATAAGTCATGTTCTATCGCATCTTTAGTCATCATAATCTTTTCCTATGTGATCTATCTACAATCTTATCTCATTATGCCATCTTTTCTCACTCTATTATTTTCTTTTCCTTTGTTTTATTGTTTGATAAATGCTGTATCTCCTTGCCTTTTGAAGTTTCCAGTTTTCTGAAGATTTTGTGGCTGATATAATAGATAATTTCAGAGTTATATTCTCCTTTCTTCTTCTGAAACTTCAAAATAAGATTTCCCCACTCTTCAAATTATTTCAAAAGACTTATTTGAGGCCTATAGAATAGTATGGGATTTGGAGGCAGACTATGTGATTTAGAATTCTGTCTTTTATTTCATACCTGTGTGAACTTTGACAACTTACATAGCTTCTCTGTGCTTTAACTTTCTCATTTATTAATTAGTGCCTTCTTTGTAATGTCTTAAAGAAAAATAAAATAGCAATATACTACAACAGTTCTGCTCCTCATTACTTCAATACCAGTTATTTTGAACTATCTTGTCTCTGAATGCAAACTGAGAACTAATAGATTGGTGAGAGGAGCAAGGGTATGCTGTTGCCTCAAGATTGATCCTCGTGAGGTGTTTAGAAAAATGCCCAATCCATAACCTAGTGTTTTAGGTTTTTTTTTTTTTGGTGAGGAAGATTGTCACTGAGCTAACATCGGTGCCAATCTTCCTCTATTTTGTATGTGGGATGCCACCATAGCATGGCTTGATTAGCATTGTGTAGGTCTGTGCCCAGGATCCAAACCCATGAACCCCAGGCTGCAGAAGCAGAGCCCACAAACGTAACCACAATGCCACCGGGCCAGCTCCGGAACCTAGTTTATATTTTATAATGTTAGACTTGACTATTTCACATGGTAAAGCATTTAAAAATGTTCTTGATTCTGATATATTTGCCTCATTGTTATAGACATTTCCTATCAAACTATAGTATTAGATCACCCTGTAATATTAGGTTCATGGTGGTAAGTATAGCAGTCATTTTCCCACGTTTTCATGTAAAGAAATAGCTTAGAATTTGGGAACGCACCCAATATTAAACCCTAAACATCAACTTTACATTTTTTACATATATTTAAAGAAAATGTTATAGACTCCTTTAGAAGTTTGTTAATATAATAAAGCATTTCTCTTGTGTATATTTCATATATATATTTACTTAACTCATTTTGTAATCTTTTAGCACCCACCTACTTGATTATATATGTATCAATTGGCTGTTTTGTTGTTTTTTTCCCCATATGAATGAAAAAGAGTGAAGAACAGCAAAAGAAGTATAATGACCAATAAACAAATTTAAAAAAATAAAGACTAGTGAATAAGAAAATGATGTGTTTATGGAGTTAAAAAGATGACTCTCTTTTAACACCATTCTCCAGCCAGTTGAACATACTCAGTCAGATCAAAACGTTTATAATGAGCCGTGGTGTGCAAAGATCTGAGTAAGACACTTACAAATAGTAATTTGTTAGGTTCTCAGAAGACACACAAACACTTTTCATCTAAATCTTGATGTAGATATACTTTTGTCTTTTTTTCTGGATTCATTTTTATTTTAATATTTATAAAGCATTATAATGGAATTAAATACCTCTCACATATATTTGAAAAAGCAATTGATGATTACCTCTTCCTCTACTATGTTTCATTCAAAAGCATATTGGCAGAGCCACTTCTTTCATAATTTACCTATGATTTCACTTAGAACTTAAACAGAAATCTGAATAAATGCCAGCGATATGAAGAACTATTTTAAAGAAAATAGTCAATGTAGATATTTGAAAGCCTGTCTGTATTTTTAAAACTAGGCTCCAAATGTTTTTCAGCTGAAAAGATGAAAAATAATTTTATACTTTGCTATGCCATTAATATTTTGGAATAAAGTGATAAATGGACTCATGTAAAATTCTTTGACTACTTGTTTTTATGTGGACTCTTTTACTAATAATTTGGGCAAAACTATTTTAGTCAAATAAATTGATTTTGAAATTTTCCTAAGTAATTGCAAGCATTGTTGCCATAATTCCTGGGTTAGCATTTTAATTGCAGTGGAGCAGTTCCTGGACCTCAGCTTTACGCACACAAACACACACAGTTTAGTTGGTGGCAGCGAGCATTTTGACATGGCTTTCAGAGGGATAAACTGAAACCCTCCAAAATTGCATCTTTCCTCTCTCTCTGGTTCTGTATTTCTTGCATTTGTGATATCAACATGATGTGAATACCAGTATTTTTCCTTTTCAACAAAGCATAAATTTAGATCCCTCCGGATCCTGTAAAGAGTAGAGAATGATCTTCTTTGAAGTAATGAGTTCACAAAAAAAACTCAAAAATAGTTTCAAAGATACTATGTGACATATCTCATATGGTGAAGAATGCCTTCAATAAAATCTCAGTTTCGGGTTTCTTTTTGTTTTCAGAGAGAGTGGAGATATTACTCATTTCAAAGCAATGATTAAGAAGTGGATGCTTTTTACTAGAAAATGCTTTTTTGGAGCCTGACAACAAATAATTTTTGAATAAAAATGAGGTAAATGTTTTCAAGACTTCATAAATTTAAAAACTCATTTAAAAGTTTATAAAAGTTTTTGTTGTGAAATGCACATACTAATATATATGCATATAGTTTATTGAACAATAATAAAATATACCCTTCCACACATTATTAGACTAAGAGATAAAATATTACCAGTATTTTAGGAGCTCCAAGAGTGCACTTCAACACAAATCTTTCTCTTAAACCCTGAAATTTGTGTTATTCTGTTGTTGTTACTAATAATTCTTACCTACTTGTGTCCATGACTATACATTCCTTAGTTTTTCCTATTTTTCAAATTTATATAAATGGACTTTGCTGAAGGAAGTCATCTGTGATTTCAGTCTTTCAGTCAATTACGTGATTAGGATATTCATCCAGGTGGATGTATCTTACAGTATTCCTTTTGATTAGAATGGAGTATTACATTGTGTGCATATAATAATTTTATCTATACCAGTGTTAGGAAACATATAGGTTGATTCCTGTGCTTTGGTATAAAGAAGAATCCGCTGAGGAACATTCCTGTATTTGTGTCCTAGTGCTATGGAATACAATGGCTGTTTTGTTTGTCACCGTTAGTAGTAATACGAATTTATTTTCTAAAAGTGTTGTGCTGGTTTCATACTGTCGCAGTTTGGAGTTCTCAATACTTCACATCATCTACAACCCAACATACTGTCTAATTTTGTAAATGTGAATGGTGTGAAATCACTTACTATTGTGATTTTAATTTACCTTTCTTTGATTAACCACGAGGTATGTGGTAATGTACATGTTGATGTGCCATTTGTATATCTTCCTTTGCAAAGTGCCTGCTTGTCTATTTTTGCCAGTTTTCCCTCAGATTTTTCTTTTTATTATTGAACTGAATCTATATATTATCCATACTAACATTTTGCTAATTCTGTGTTGCATATTTATTCAGTTTGTGACTTCAAGCATTTTTACTCACTCTATGGTAATTTTTATAAACAAATATTTTTAAGTTCAATGTAGTTGAATAAAACAATATTTTCTTTGGCAATTAGAAAATAATCACATTTTTATTTCTCCCTTTCAATCCTTAACTAATTTTATTACTTTTCATTTCTTATACTTTGCTGGCTAAAGTTTCAAGTAAACTGTTGATCAGCTAACTGACATACCGGTTGCTTCTAATTTTAAAATAAATTCTTTGAAATACTCAAATACTTTCACCAATCTATATAATGCTTGCTGTAAGATTTTCGTAAATGCCTTTGTTAATTTAATTTTTATTAACAGTTTCCAGTGTTTATCTACAGAAGTTGTTGAATTTCATTAGACAATTCTGAATATGTTGTAGTGGTCATTTTTTCCTTTTTGAATTGTTTTTTATGGTAAATAATGTTGTTCAATTCTCTAAGGTAAAACATTACTGTGATTATGCTGTAGTATCCTTTCTACACAATTACTCTTATCATTCACTGCTTTATTTAGCACTATTGCATCTATGTGCTATTATATTTAGCACATTTGAGATTTCCTGAAATTTTTTTTCTTGTACTTTCATGTTTGTATTTTTTTAATATATTGTTATGTAATGAATTACTCCAAAATCTAGTACTTAAAACAAACAGTATTATCTTACAGTTTCTGAGAGTCAGGAAACTGGGTAGAGTTTAGTTGGGTCCCTCTTGCACAGGATTTCATCTGAGGCTCAACTGGTGAATGATCCATTAACAAGTTCACTCGTGGTTGTCGGCAAGATGCAATTTCTCAGTGTCTGTTGGCCTGAGGTCTTCAGTTTTTCATTGACCATTGATTAACTCTTTTAATTCCTTGAGAAATTAGCCTCTCTGCGTAGAACATCTCACAACATGGCAGATGACTTTCCAAAAGAGCCAGTAAGCAAAAGGTTAAGAGAAAGAGAGCAAGATGAAAGTTTTTGTGAAACCTAATCTCAGAAATGACATCTCATCACTTTTGCTGTATTGTATTTTTTAGATCTTAATTAGTAGGTCTAGTCCACACTCATGGGGAGGGAATTATACAAGAGCATGACTACTAAGCGGATAATTAGAAACTATCTTAGACTTGTCTACCACACTGATTTTAATTATATATATGTATATATATATACACACACACAGATATATATGTAATTAGAAGGGTGTAATTAGAAGCTATCTTAGAGCTGTCTACCACACTGATTTTAGTTTAATATATATGTATAATGTAATGTAAATATATCTCTCTCAGCTTATTTACTTGCATGCTCTTTTTAATCCCTAATGAAATTTGCTATTTATCCCTTCTTTTCTAAATTTATGTTGTCAAGTGTTTGTCTAATTTATTGCATTTATTTTTTTCCTGAGGAAGATTAGCCCTCAGCCAACATCTGTGCCAATCGTGCTCCACTTTATGTATGGGCTGCCGCCTCAGTATGACTGATGAGTGGTGTAGGTCCACACCTGGGATCCAAACTCGTGAACCTGGGAGAGTAGCCAACATAATACTGAAGGAGAAGAACAAAGTTGGAGGATTACCACTACCCAGCTGCAAAACTTACTATAAAACTACAGTAATCAAAACAGTATGGTATTAGTGAATGAACAGACAAATAGATCAATGGAAGAGAATAGAGAACCCAGAAATAGATACATATAAATATAGTCAACTTTCACAAAGGGGCAAAGGCAACTCAATGGAGAAAAGGTAATCTTTTTAACAAATGGTACTGAAACAACTGGACATCCACATTCAAAGAAATGAATCTAGGCACAGACTTTAGATCCCTTCACAAAAATTAACTCAAAATGGATCACAGGCCTAAATGTAAAATACAAAACTGTAAAACTCCCAGAACATAACATAGGAGAAAACCTGGATGGCCTTGGATATGGTGGTGACATTTTAGATAGAACATCAAAGGCATGATCCATGAAAGAAATGATTGATGAATGGGACTTCATTAACATTAAAAACTTCTGCTCTGTGAAAGACACTGTCAAGACAATAAAAAGCCACAGACTAGAAGAAAATCTGATAAAAGACTGTTATACAAAATATAGAAAGAAGTCTTAAAACTCAACAATAAGAAAATGAACAACTCATAAAAAATGAGTCAAAGACCTCAACAGACACCTCACCAAAGATGATATGCAGATGACAAATAAACATATGAAAAGATGCTCCATATCATAAGTCATCAGAGACATGAAAAACTTTTAAAAAATGAGATACCACTACACTATTAGAATGGCCAAAATCTAGGATTCTGACATCAAATGCTGACAGGGATGTGAAACAACAGGGACTCTCATTCATTACTGATTGAAATGCAAAATGGTATAATTACTTTGGAAGACAGCTTGACAGTTTCTTACAAAACCAAACATGCTCTTCCCATATGATCCAGCAATTACTCTCCTTGGATTTACCCATGGAGGTGAAAGCTTATGTCCACACAAAAATCTGCACACAAATGTTTATAGTAGCTTTATTCATAATTGCCAAAACATGGAAGCAACCAAAATGTCCTTTGGTGGGTGAATCTCTAAATAAACTATGGTACCTGAAGACAATGGGTTATTATTTCAACACTGAAAAGAAATGAGCTATGAAGCCCTGAAAAGATGTGGAAGAAACTTAAATGCATAGTAAGAAGTGGAAGAAAATCCAAGAAGGCTATATACTCTACAATTTCAACCAAATGACATTCTGTACAGGCCGTTAAATATGGAGTCACTGAAAAGGTCAGTGGTGGCCAGGGGTTATCAGGGAGGCAGGAACCAATTAGCCATGCACAAGAGACTTTTGGGCAGTGGAAATACTCTGTACGATACTATAATGTGAATACACGTCATTATACATTTGTCCAAACTCATAGAATGTACAACACCAATAATAAGCCCTAAGTAAACTATGGACTTTGGGTGATTATGATGCATCAATATAGGTCCATCAAAATCAGAAATCAAAATAGGAAATAATTTTTTAAACCAGACATAAAATACTTTCCATAACGGAAGAGATTGATAATTTTGACCTCTATAAAATTAGGACCATTGTTCACAAGAAAATTTCAAAATGGGGCAAAAATACAAAGTTGGAGAAGATATACATCACATATGTAATAAACAAAATTTTAGTAAAACAAAGAATATCTGTAAGAAAAAAGATAGGAAATCCAATGAAAAAATAGGCAAAAGATTTGAATAAATATTTTGCAATCCAAATGGAAAATAGATGTTTGAAATGATGTTGACCTCACTGATAACAACTGGAAAGGAAATTTAAAGCAAAATTAAGACCATCACACAAGAGAACAGAAAGGCAAAAAATTTAAAAAGCCTCTACTAATGTTGGTGAAGATAAGTAGCAATGATAACTTTCATACTCTGATAGTATATAAATTGGTAGAATCACATTGGCTAAGATTTCGGTATTGTTTGGTTAGGTTAAAAATGCAGAAATATTTTAACAAGAAATTCTATGCTGAGGTATGTACCATAGAGAAAATTTTGCACATAAGACCTCCAGAAGATGTGTATATGCATATCCCAACAGAGTATAACAGACTATCCTACAACAATCCATAAAAATGAACCAAAGCTACACACACACACATAAAAATGATGACTCTCAGAATAGAAATAATTTTGAAAAAAAAAGCAAGTCACAAAAGATCAGAAAGAGCCCAAACTAGAATATATCATTGATGGGTGCTTACATAGATAGTAGAGCTATTTTTTTTTAGCTCCAACATAGTTGATTACTCTTAAGTCTAATGTTCCCTTTTAGGTCAATGAGCCTTGGAATTTTCACCTTCTTGTTGAAGTGTAAGCTTCCGTATGTCCCTATAAGAATTTTAAACCTCACTGATGGCTGTTATGAAGTTGTCTGAGTTGTAGATTCTATTGTATGTGGTCACTGGCAAGTGTCCCTGTGTGTTTATGTGTAGTGTGGGAGTTTGAATGCAATAAGGGCGTATGTGTGTGTGTTGCTATGTATGTTCTTTTGAGTGTGAGTCGTGAAAGGAAACTGTATAGATAAAATTCACTTTCTTCAAAGTAGAACTCTCATAGATGTAGCCCATGAACTGAAGAGCTATCAGTCTTACACAAATCTTTTGGTTTTGCTACTCATTGTAATCATCGTCCATTTTCTGTTGTACGAGGAATTGAAACTGGGGATTAAATTTTACTGTTTCCACTCTTGAGAAGAGGGTATTAAAAGAAATCTGAGGGGCTGGCCCCGTGGCCGAGTGGTTAAGTTCGCGCGCTCCACTGCAGGCGGTCCAGTGTTTCGTTGGTTCGAATCCTGGGCGCGGACATGGCACTGCTCATCAAACCACGCTGAGGCAGCGTCCCACATGCCGCAACTAGAAGGACCCACAACGAAGAATATACAACTATGTACTGGGGGGCTTTGGGAAGAAAAAGGAAAAAAAATAAAATCTTTAAAAAAAAAAAAAAGAAATCTGAAAGCTTTAATAGCACTTTATTCCTTATTATGTTAATGGACCTAAAAACTTGTGGCCAGCCCTATGAAAATTTTGCTGGTCTAAGATTATGTGAGAAATAAAAGTTAAAAAATAAATTATCAAAAGTGAAATGGACAGGTGCTATTTGTATTAACTATTATATTTCTCCTAGTAGAGGAAATTATCACGTTCAGGACAAATAATACGTAATAAAATTTCTATTAATTGACTGTATTCTTTCATTTAATTACCACATAGATATTTGAATCCACAGCACTTTAAATCTGAATATTTAAAGAAATATTTGTTGAAATATTCTGTATTTATCCCTAGGGGAGGGGAGCCTAATGTATTTTTAAAAATTACATTGGTCTTACTCTAGTCCTTGCTTTCTGTTCTATATCCATAAACAAAATCAAAATTGTTATGAGTTTATAAACTCATACAATTTTGGAAAACCAGCAAAATTTTACAAGTTACGTGATATTATTTTTTGCTTTCTATTATATTTGCTGGGGATTCTTTCTATGGTAACTCTACACGTTTTTCACCATTGATCAAGAAAAAAATCCCATCCTCCCCAAAACATCTGCTGAAACAGATTTGTTTGTAGAAAGGGTTTCCAGATCTGAATTGCACTGTTCAAACTATTGTCAGTATTCAACTAATAGCTAGTTCCATTTCTGGGGCTATATTTAAGTATTCATTCTTGATTCAAGTTGTCTTGTTCCAAATGCAGAAGAAGTGAATTTTTAGATGCTCTAGCTAATTTTCAAGTCAAACTATCATAGCCTACTACCTGATTCTTCCAGAATTGACCCCTCGCTCCTTAGTACCTTTTTCCTGAATAAACTTAGTAACTATAAAACTAGTTTGCTACTGTTCCTTCACACGTCCTTCACATCCAAGGTGACGATAAGCTCCCTTGACATAAGTGACTGTCTTATTCCTGCTTATTTCCTCAATGCTTATCCTGCTGTCTGTGAAAATGTTCAGTCAAAAGTAAATAAATACGTGAATTGATGTTGTGATAGAATACAATTAACATAATCAGAAATATCAATGAGAGCTGAAGACTAAAACCTCACAGTAAGTTTTCTCAGGACCCTGTCAGCTAACTTTATTAATAATATGTTCATTTTTATTTCTCACAATGACTACAGCAATGAGAAGCAGGTGGTTAACATCACTGTGAAAGAGGACATGGTTTAATTTTATTTAAGGCAAGTTTGACAGGTTATCTGAACAGGCACATAAAGTAACACAATCTTCTTTGAGTTATGTATGACAAATATATTCTTTGTGTAACTGCTCTATAGCATCCTCATTCATGGGTAAAACTTTTTGTTATTTTTATTTCATGTGATTAATAATCGTAATAATGTTGCAAATAGCTTCTGTTATGCTGTACTCTGAAGTCAGCAATTTAAGCAACAAATAGAAAACAATTTTTTCTGTAGATTTCTGATGTTGTATTTGCTGAATACTACTTGTATTAGTTTGCTGGAGCTGACATAACAAAATAGCACAGACTGGGGGCTTAAACAACAGAAATTGATTTTCTCACAGTTCTGGAGGCTGGAAGTCCATGATCAAAGTGTCTGCAGGGTTGGTTTCTCCCCAGGCCTCTCTCCTTGGCTTGCAGGTGGCCGGCCTCTCACTGTGTCCTCACACGGTCTTTTCTCGATATGCATCACATCCCTGGTGTCTCTCTACAGTCAGATTGGATTAAGACCCACCCTAAAGGCTTCATTTTGACTTAATTATCTCTTTAAAGGCCTTATGTCTAAATATAGTCACATTCTAAGGTCCTAGGGGTTAGGGTTTCAACATAGGAATTTGAGGGGGGTATAATTCAGTCCATAACAGTACTTAAATACATAAGTACAAAAATTTGAAGAAAAAAAGTGTAGTTACCTCTAAGTTAGATTTTGATTCACGATTCTAAAGGTAAATATAAATATTTTCTTGAAATTACTCTAAAATTTTTTTTGGTTCTAAATATTTATATGAAATGTTTACAAATTTACGAATGATTATTCATAAATTGAACATTGCCTTAATTAAAAAAATCAAATGTTTATGTTTATAATTAATTATCACCTTTTCCAATAGTTAACAAGGG